AATTGCGAAAAAAATAACATTGGTGTTTGTGGATTACCTTGCAAATATTTGTTAGTAATATAACTGAGGCTTTCCTTTTGTGATTGGTAAATGTTGTAAATTATTTGATGATGATATATTGCTGAACATGATAAATAAGACTTTTGTCGTCGTTGTATTTACTCAAAGCCACGTATTAATTTTCAGGGTAGCCATTTGGGTTTCCAAAATCAGCATCATCATCATCATCATCATCATCATCATCATCATCATCATCATCATCATCATCATCATCATCATCATCATAACAATAATAACTTTAATAAATTCTAAAAACAAACGTTCCGAAAGACAGTTGACAATTAGATAAAACTGAAAAGACACCTATTAGTAAAACAGCGTTTAAGAAGACTAGTCCTAATTTGAGGAAGTACATACTGTTAGGAGTGACCACGATTCATAAGCAGTCTTGTTTCAACCTCCGTTTTATTCAAAATGAGCTCTTGTAATAAGGCTAAATGTGGACTCCATTGAGAAACTTTGGTCCAAGAACATTAGCCTTTCGCAGCGCCGTCTGGAGAGTTACTTATAAATGATTTTTATATTGAGAGTCATGAGTAGAGCGATGTTACACGAAATCCTCAGACATTTATCGTGATAAATTCATGCACTACAATTTGTTTCTGTGACATAAGAGAAATTTCACTGTAAGAAAAGGGAGCATGAGAACTGAAGCTTTCATTTCTTGTAGTTTCATTTATCATAAACAATCCAGAAGATTGTCCTCGGGGAAGTTGTTATCACCCTCGGAAAAGAAAAATGGAAAAGAGGTTTTACCTTGATTAGCAACTGCCAAACATTTAAGTCTCCAAGCTTCCAGTAGAGCAAACATCAACAGAATAACCAAGCAAGAAGCGCCCTTCATACTTCGGTTGCTGCAATCGTGTCTGTAAACTACTGAGTAAATGGGGCGTAGATCGGCTTTAAAATCGATGAATATAAATAATTTATTGCAATTAATTTATGTCATTGAATTCAAATTTACTTTTAACGCAAGAAATATGCTTTAGAACATGTTAAGTGCTAGATATACGTTCATATTTGCAATAATTTTCCCCCTTTATAACATCACTGAATTAAAGTACCGTATTGTCGTACAAACACTAAGTAGTTCTCGCCCTTTTTTCAAGGGCTAAGTTTTTTAATTCACTTAACAACGAGGTCATCAACTCTCAGTCCCTGAAGATTAAATTATTCAGTAAATATGGAATCAATTCATAAATCTTTCCATCTTCGACTTTTCGCCATCTTTTCTTTAATTGACGTTAAACAGCTCTAACCCGTAGTTCGAGGAGGCCTAACCTCTCATAAGCTCCTATAGTTTCTGTTAGGTCTCCTCGCCATTTCTTTTTTTCTCTCTTTTCCTTTATTTTTTGTAATTATTGTGTGGCAAATAAGTATAGGTAGTAGCATGATTTGCAGTGATATTTGGCATAAATACCACGAGAGATATTTCAAAATTGTTATACTTAAATTTGAGACAATTTTGAAATATCACGAGTGGTATTTATGCCAAATATCACGTACAAATCATGCTATTATTTGTTACTGGGCTGCCCGGCAAGCCCAGTGATAAAATGGGTTTTCGGTCTTCGGTGTCAAAAAGTGGTCATCCGGGGGAGGGAAAACACGAGGGTCTGGTACGTAGAAACGATGTTCTCACAAATGGTTTCATAGGATTTTCTCTTGCATGAACTCTTGCATGGATACTTTTTGTACCTTGCCTGCGCTCCCCCTGAAAAACCCACAAGGCGTTGCGAACCTGAAGAAGGCTATTTGCGTTGTTCGAAGCGATTCGACCATGGGAGTAACTCTATAATTTTTTTATTGTTCGAGTTTTAGTCAGTTAGATGATGTTGGCGCTGGGAAACTCAGAGAAATGCTCGCGTTGCATTCAAACCGACACGCCGTTCAGGGTAGGTTCACACTAAAAGACTGAAAAGATGACTGTGAGCGTCAGGTTTGGAAAGCCGTGGCTGCTTCGTTAACTATCGATCGATGTAGTACATGAGCAATTAAGAAGCACAATTTATGAGCAAAGTATTTCACCTGTTGACGACACTATGGCTGAAGACTTGATTGTAAGCCGTCATAGTCAGTGAAGCGAACAACTCAGTTGCCGATGAATGGCAGATGAATCCTGATGTCCATAAGCGAGGGACGTGACAACTTTGCCTTGTTAGAAGACTGGCTTTTCCTTTAAATATTTCCTTCTATTTAATGCAACACACGCCACTTTGGAGATCTAAATTTCGGATACTGAGGATAAAGAAGACACGGACAAAAATAGGAACTCTGAGAATTTCGCACACAAGTTTAAAGCTTCTCCGGGACATCCCATCCGGGAGCTTCACAGAGAGCGACTTGAGGAAGATAGGAGCTATTACTGGCAAGGTTTGGTGACTGAGTAGAGCATACAAGTGTAGCCCACGTCGAGGTTTCAGGGGGTTTGTTTTTGTTTGTATCTGTATCTTGCTAAGCTTTTGTCATTAAATTTGTACAAGATCTTGTGATCACAATTCTGAGTTAACGCCCATTCAGCAAGCACGCTATATTGATGTCAGCATTAGCGAGTTTCAGAAGCATGCCTTTGAAAATTTTCAGCTCTCGTGATGTTTCTTGATATTTCTTTTACCATTTTATGGAGATGTAAACTGAAGTCACCGCAAAATGGAAACTTAAAAAAGCGTATAATCCATTCATCTCGAAACATAACACACATGACTTATACGACCTTTATTTTCGTAAAGGTGTTTTGAATACGAACGAACACAGCCAATGTGAGGGCAAAAAACAGCATTAATATAAATGAACCATAGGATTTTAACTAATATAAGGGTCAATTATTGTGCATTGAAATGAATCGCTTGAAAAGAGAGACTTCGCTTGAAGATGTGATCAGAAGTAAACAAAGGCATAATAGTGCGTCACGTTCAGTCTTTTTAATATCCAAGGAGTCACTGTGCATAGTGTTTCCATATTGTTTAGATGGCACAAAAAACCTCGGACGAGCTATAAAGCGGCATAGTTATCTTCCATGAAGGAAAGTTAGTCTTGGGTGAGACAAACAGAACTGGAGCGAATTTTTAACTCACATCGGTGTCAGGTAAAAAATATGTTATCGATCGTTTCATCTATTTACATTGTTTGAAGTGCGTGCTGGTGAACGCAACATGTGAGCGAGAAATCTTTAAACTTTTTTAGGTCTCAAAATGCAAAGGATTTTATTCCTTTAAGTTAGAGAAAAATATCGTGAGGAAAATCTTAAAACTGAATACTTTTCATCTTGTGGAAAAAATAGTGCGTTTCCATGTACACTGTGGACCGCAAATTAGGATCGCACTTTTCACAAACATGCGAATTCTGAAGTTCAGAACCCAACCTACGATTGCGTTTTTCGCTGCTGTCAATCATCTTAACGGACC